AGCTGCCCTGGGGATGCTGGGCCAGGAGGCTCACCTGAAGGCTGCCAGGTACTCCGTGTCTCCCATCGGGGGGTCGAGGCCTCCGGTGAACGCCATGTTGACGTTGAAGCCCACGCCTGGCCCGGTGCCCACCTGTGGCCAGAGGAGAGAGAAGCATGGCACGGCCTGGAGGACTGGGCCAGGAAGGAGGGTCTGCCGTGGGGGCCCTGGCTGGGCTCTGCCCTGTGCCTGCAGCGGGACCCGGGTGCTGTCTGCAGTGCACGCTCACCAGTGCGGAAGCCGGTCACACGGGCTGCCCTCGTGCCAATGACAGGCAGTTTTCAGGAGCTCCAGGGACCCCGAGCTAAGGGGGCTGTGGAGCTGTGCTCCTCTCACAGGAAAGGCCAGCTGTCTCTCTCGGCGACACTTCTGAGGCCCCACGCCCTGTGCTGTCAGATGCAGAGAGCAATCCAACCCAATGCCTTGGAGAGGAGCCGTCTGTCAATGGCCCTGTCATTTCCACTCCACGTGACAAGGAAGACCCAGAGGCAGAAGCCTGGTCCTTGGTGGGACCGCCCTGGGGGCCTCCTTGTTCACAGGGAGCAGGCTCTGCTTGGGGACACGGGGTGTTATGAAGGAGCCTGCTGAGCTTGGGGCTACCAGGCAGCACTAGCCAGGTGAGAGGACCAGGGATAACAGCACCCTATCCGGGGAATCTGGAAAAGACGCCAGCCTGGAGTGGACAGGCCACGTGTATCCCCGTGGCACAGTGCAGGCCCTGCCTGACCGAGGCCACCTGGGCCCTGTTCTCCACACGAGTAGGGGAGCACGGAGCCCTGCCTGGTTGGGCTGTGGCTGGCGTCTGCCTCGCCCTCCACTGGGGCCCCTCCCACAGCTGGGCGCCGGGCGGGCGCGACCACAGGCCCCACGCACCTCGTCAGGCGCCCCGCTGCCCGGGAAGAAGTTGCCATCGTCATAGCGGTGCAGCGACACGTAGAGCACGCTGGGGTCGCTGTAGAAGGCCTGCTGACTCCCGTTGCCGTGATGCACGTCCTGCGGGCACTGCCTCGCCCTCCACTGGGGCCCCTCCCACAGCTGGGCGCCGGGCGGGCGCGACCACAGGCCCCACGCACCTCGTCAGGCGCCCCGCTGCCCGGGAAGAAGTTGCCATCGTCATAGCGGTGCAGCGACACGTAGAGCACGCTGGGGTCGCTGTAGAAGGCCTGCTGACTCCCGTTGCCGTGATGCACGTCCTGCGGGCAGGAGGTCACTCAGGGCGGACCAGGCATGGGGACCGCCCTCCCTGTCTGGTCCACCCCTGCTCAGGGAAGGACTGTGCGCAGCCAGGCAGGCACCCGCAGGGCAGCCTGCGCCCGGGTCTGCGGTCAGTAGGTGCCCGACAACTTTTCAGAAACCTGCTGGGTCTCCTCGGCCTCTGCCGGGATGTGCTCAGATATGGCCGCTCATGAACAGGCGTGGGCAGTGCTGCCCCGTGCCAGGCGCTGGGACCGCAGGAGACAAACCCTATGGGCTGTGGAGAGAGAGCTGCTGGGGGCCTGGAGCCTCGGACTAAAACCATGAGCTACAGTTTTTAACCACAGACCACATGTCACAAGCGCCAGAGGACAACAGGGACATGCACCAGCGCTTCACGTGGCTGTGCTGTCCCCCTGGGGCCACAGCGGGCGGCGCCACCAGCACGGGCAGGCCATGACGTGGGGACCTGCAGCCCTGAGCCTCCTCTCAGCAGACAGGCTGTCTGCGATGACATGTGTGAGGCCCAGCCACAGGCAGGGCCTGGGACAGCTCCCAAGCCCTCCCGTGGCCGCCCGCTCTGTGTGGCCTCCTGCGTGCATAGCCGTGTGTGTACCTGAGGTGGGCCTCAGCCCACCATCTCTGTGCTGCCGGATACGGCGGCCAGCAGGGGGACACCTCTGTGATGGCATGGCAGGTCATCTCACCCTACCCGCTGTGACACTGCCTGTGTGTCGGACAAGAAGGTGAGCCCGGCGTCTGGGTTCACTGACCATGTTGTCACCAACCTCATCCTCTCTCGCTCATGGCCGGCGTCTCCTGAGCCCAGTGGAGGCCTGGCTCTCAGGCCCTGCTGTGTGGGAGCCCCACTGCTCTGCTGTCCTCACTGACGTGCAGGCCACGTCCCCGGGCCAGGCTAGACCCTGTCCCCTATGGAACCAGCACTGACAGCCGGGACCTGCCTGGTGCTTGGGATGTATCTGAAGAAAACTTGCAATAGACCACAGACTCACCGAGATACCTGCTTTACCGATTCCTGAAAATGTTATGAAGTCAGTCCAGCAGGTGGTATAGGGGTTACGTCACTGGACTCCCACATGGCCAACCATGGTTCAAGTCTCGCACCCAGTAGCTTGACAATCACACCAGGCACATGTATACGTGTGCCCAAGACCCCAGGAGAAGGGGAGAAGGGATGTCTCACTCTCCCTCACTGTCTCTGTCTCTTTCTCTAGTGAGCACACGTGCCCTATGGCAAAAACCTCTAAAAAAAAAATCACAGAATAATAATCCCAACTACTAAACAACACTGTGTACGTATGTATAAACCTGGCTTAAAGAAGGGTATGATGATACAACCCTGAATATCCACTTCCAGTCTTAAGAATCAACATAGTGGGCCAGCAGGTGGTGTGGTGGCTATGGTTCTGAACCCACATGGCCAGCTGTTCAAGGCTTGGACCCAACGGCTTGTAAATCATGCTGGGGGTCTGTGTGCACATGTCCAGAATCCCAAGAGGAGAACGAAGGGGTGTGACGTGGCTATCCCTCTGGGGTGATTTCTCACTTTCCTCTCTGTCTCTCCTTGGCAAGCAAAAAAAAAAGTCTAAAAAAAAAAAATCAGCATAGCTGGACCCATGTTCAGGTATCACACACATTATTAGAGCGCCAGCCCTCTTGGGCAGCGGGGTACTGGGACGAGACAGGTCCTGGAGGCTGACAGAGAGGGAGGCCCTGCCCCACGGCCCCCAGCAAGAACCAGGACTGGCCCAGAGCAGGAGGCCAGGCACTTCCACAGCTTTGGCGGGTGTGGGGCATGGCCCACGCTCCCAGCTAGAGGCCCAGGGTGAGGCAGGCAGTGCTTTCTGGAGCCACGCCTCCCAGCAAGCCTTCACCGAGGTGCCCTGGCACCGTGCACCTCTGCGGTGTACTGCCAGACACCTCAGAGCCATGCCTGGCAGGGTGCCTGCTGAGACCGCATCTCAGCGCTGGCCCCCCTTCTCTCCACGCATGTCGGCTGCTCAGGGCCACAGGGCGAGTAAACCTCCCGCCCGGGCCGGCACTCACCCAGTCCACTATGAGAATCTTGCTCACGTTCAGCCTCTGCTGGAGAAGCTTGGCTGCCACGGCCACGGAATTGAAGTAGCAGAACCCCCTGTGGAGGAGAGGAGGGCAGGGAGGAGGTGAGGGCGCCGTGACCTCTGCCACACCACTGCACTGGCTGCCTGTGGCCGAGATTCCCGAGTTGCTAGGGGTTCTGTGCATGTGGGCCTCATCAGGAAGGGTACCTCGAGGCACACGGTGTGACAAACAGACACAGACACTGTGGACGCTGACACGCAGGCACTGCTGACACACATAGCACACAGATGTACACACAGACCTCATAGATGTACACACACACACACACACACATACACAGGTAGACACATACCACATGGGCACCTGCCACACTAAGAAATATCACACACACATGAATACACATGCAGACATAGACCACGTAGATACACACAGCACCCTTTACATATACACAAACCGACATAGAGACACCACACACACACACACACACGTATATGCACCAGATCATGCTGCTGTACACACACCAGACACATATATACACACATGAACACACGCAGGCAGACACACATGCCACACTGAGGCACACACCTCAGAGATAACTGCGAATAGGCATCTGTGCTCACAGACCATGCAATCACATCTAGAGAGACCATAGACACACACCCAGACACACACTTACACACACACAGACACAGCACAGAACATGCAAACACATCTATACATACAGAGACCAGACACACACACACAGACACAGCACAGAACATGCAAACACATCTATACACACAGAAACCAGACACACACCCAGATACACACTTTCACAGCACAGAACATGCAAACACATCTATACACACAGAGACCAGACACACACTTACATAGCACATATACACACACCACAGAAACATGCAAACACATCTATACATACAGAGAACAGACACAGCACAGAACATGCAAACACATCTATACACACAGAGACCAGACACACACTTACATAGCACATATACACACACCACAGACATACACTTACACTGCACACAGACACATTGCAAACACATAGTTACATAGCACAGACACACACACAGCACATAGACCTGCACTGCAGACACACCCTTACACAGCACACAGGTGTGCACTGCACACACACTTACACAGCACAGACGCATTGCAGACACACTGCCACAGCACACAGACACACTTCCATAACACACAGACACACCACATACATACACCAGATACACACACAGCAAAGATACACATTTACACAGCACACAGATACGCACCACAGTTTCACAGCACAGATATACAGACATACACACAGCACGCACACACACCAGACACACTTACGCAGCACGTAGACACACACAGCACACACACACCCAAACACTTACACAGCACACTTACGCAGCAGACACACACAGCAGTCACACAGCACACACACACTTACACAGCACAGAGACACACTTACATAGCACTCACACACACAGCACACTTACGCAGCAGAGACAGACAGCATAGTTACACAGCACACTTACACAGCGGAGACACACTTACACAGCGGAGACACACTTACACAGCGGAGACACACTTACACAGCACACACACTTACACAGCACACACTGCACACTTGCACAGCGGAGACACACTTACACAGCACACACACTTACACAGCACAGTTACACAGCACATAGACACACGCCGCAGACAAACGTACACAGCACACAGGCGCATAATCCAGACACACACTCCCACATATCACAGGCACGCACTGCAGACACACACTCCCACATACACACCCATATGCACACAGGTGCATGCTCTGTAAACACAGTCTCCTGTTGGAGGTCTCCTATGTCCCCGTGGCTACACAAACCTGCTTTCCTGGACCAACGCCCCCTCAGTTGCCCCAGCAGCCCCCCTGAACACAGACACCCCGAGATGCTGCGACACGCGACAGCTCTACTTGTGTCCACTGCGTCCTGCTCATGACCCCAATGGTGGCATGTGTGATCACCTGGGCTAACTATAACTGTGCTCTCACTCCAAAGGCCACACGACCTAGGAAGACGCTTCAGCATCCACTTTCTCCTCGAGCTCCATAAAACCGGGGACACAGCTCATGCCTCAGTCTGGAAACTCACAGCCCCGGAGCATCAGGGCTCTCGGGGGACAGGCCCCGCCTCTGTGGGCTCAGAGCTGTCACTGCAATGGCTCAGTAAAACCCAGGACGAGCCCCATCTAAGTGTGTGTTCATCTCCCCCAGGTCTGCTTTGACTGTCCGGCAGCCCAGAGCTGGGTTCCAGTTAGAGAAGTGACGTCAGAAGGAGACACCCCAGCAGCACAGGCACCCACCACCCACCACCTGCTGGGCAGGGTCTGTCTGCGCTGTCCAGTTGAGCCTGCACCTGCTGCTGCTCCTCCACGCCTGGTGCTGGGTCTATGACGAACCACCCTTGCTATGGGGCCCGGGGGTCTGGACAGCCACCCGAGCAGACAAGAGACCGTGCCAACACCGGCTGAGGGCCGAGCGTTACTGCTGCCCGAGGTGCCGCGGGGCTCTGTGCAGGTGTGCTCGCCTGGGTTCTCATGGCAGAGCTGCAGCACAGCTCACCTGGGCTAGCTCTCGGGGCGCCCTCCCCTTCCCCCAGTCTCCGGCTCATGGCCCTGCCGGCTGCTCCTGTCCCTCAGGTGGCCCTGCCCTGTAGGAGAGGCCCCGCGTCCCTCCTCTCAGCCCAACTGCCTGCCAGGGCGCGCGTCTACTCACATGGGTGTGCTCTCCTCGGCATGGTGGCCAGGGGGCCGGACCACAGCAAAGCCATTCTGCGGGTGACAGTGGTGGGACAGAGTGACCAAGATGTGTTACACCCAAGAGGTGGCCACAAACCGACTTTCAGAACCACAGTAGGACCCGGTCTTCCCAGGAACCTGGGCCCCACAGACACAGGGCGGTATGAAGGGCCAGCAGAGCCTTCAAAGGCGGCAAGGACCCTCCTTTTTAAAGAGACCGACTGGTTATTAGAAGTTCCTGGTGAAATCAGCCGACATGGCCTGGGGCCGTCCGTGGGAGGGCACTCCTGGCCCCCCTGCACCCGGCCAGGGGCTGTTGGCTCTGGGCTGACGGGGGCTGGTTTGTGGCCTACTGTGACATCGCTGTTATCACACAGACTGGTTCCTGGGGGTGGAAGCCACATAAACCCACAGCTCCCTGAAACGCAGAAGCAGCCGTGTGCCCCAACCTCTGACGCTATGGGGTGCCTGTGGCACCCCACTCTTGCAGCTGCAGTGAGAGCACCGGGGACTACTGCTGGGTCCCCGGGACTGGGAGTCAGGGGAGGGCAGGGGTTGAGGTCTGCACTAAAGCCCCTAGAGGCCAGCCGCTGCTGACCGGCATGCGGGGGGCAGGTG